AATAGGGCCCAAGGAGATGTAGGATATTGCTTCGGAACTGGGAAAGGAACTCATCAAAATGAAGAGAAAGCATTTTCATGGTATCTTCGAGGAGCCGAAAATGACCACGTGCTTAGCCAAAGCACGATTGGTGTACGATATTTGAGGGGAATTGGAACGCCGAAAGATATTATGAAAGGCATCTATTGGTTTAACTTGGCCAAAGAAAATGGCGACAAAGATGCCGAGGAAAACCTCGCCCTGATAGCCAATATCATTATATAAAATGAAAACAATTTCTCTCAAACATATGCTCTACGTTTCGAGATATACTGTATACAGTATTATAAATTTGTTTGATGCCACTTGTCGTTATTGTTAACTTTTTAAACCCTGTATCATTAGATTTACTAATAGTAATAATTTTTTCATAACTGTACTGTTATTCATCAAACTCGTATTAATAAATACATCACACACACACACATACACAGTTGCGCTCTTTCCATTTTTTTTTAAATTTCGCTGCATTCGTAATCATTCGTAATCGAATAACAATTTTTTCTTGTAAAAAAAAAAAAACATTTCTGACGAACTTTGGGTCATAATTCAAAACGATATCATGATGATTAGTCGTGATGTAGTAACGTGATTTTGTTCGGCGAATCATAAAAACCATTCTTCAGAAATTAAAGGGATTTTTTTGAAACAATTTCAATTCAAATAAAATTTCCAACGCGTTTGTAACGAAGGTTTGCTTAATTTTGCGAATTAGGTAATGAGTGTAGATAAAAATGCAAAAAGCCGGATGTTACAAAGCCTTTCTTTTGTTGAAACGAGAATTTCATATTATGTTGTCATCTAATCGTCATCAAATGTGATGGTAACGCGTAAAAACTCGGTATTCTAAACCTTGGGCTGACAGCCTACCACGTGAATAAAGTACGTATTCGGGCACTCGAGAAAGATCGAGTACGTAAATTTTAAAGTTGTGAACGCATACATGTATGCGTGCGATGACATAAATGCAGTGCGACCAGCTTGCTGCACATCAATTTTCGTCCTTTTTCAATTCACATACGAAGAGCATCCAAACATTCATGACTCCTGAAACGAAAAGTGCATACAACACCGCCGAGGAATGGATGAATAGGTTAATCATCTATAATACCTTTAAAAAAGAAAAGATCCCATTTTATTCCTATGACGAGGAATTTACTGATGTGAAACCGATTGGAAGAAAATCGTCTGGAAAGATCTACAAAGCCACCCTCCGGAGTCTTCGAAAGACGGTGGCCATCAAATCCATCAATTTAACAGTTGATGATGCCATGAACGAGGTGGGTACAGTATTGTCCACCGATTATCCAGCATCGATTCAAAAAATTAACTAAATATCTTGATGACCAAAGATCAAAAAACATCAGATTTTGGAAAACCATGATAACATTTTGAAATTTTATGGTATCACCAGGCAAGGTAACAAATAGTATTCCCCGCTTATTAAATCCACCTTATTTGAAAGTTGACCGCCTCATTCATTTCATAGGAGACTACATGTTAGTCTACGAATATGCAAATAATGGCACGCTCCGCCAATATTTGAGGGAGAATTATCAAAGAATGAGCTGGAACGTCAAGTTATCACTTGCAAGGCAGATTGCGGGTGTAATAGGATTTTTGCATGCAAACGAAATCGTTTATGAAAAATTGGTACCGTAATTATTTCATAGTAATAATGATAATAGTAGTAAACATATAGGTAGATGATGGATGAATTAATGGACGAGTTTCTGGTGCACTACAACAAGATGATAACTTTTTTTTTTTTTACGTCGTGGTTCAAATAGGATTCCGAAAATATTTTCGTTCACAACGGGAAAATCAAATTAAGTGGCTTTGAAATAAGAAGACAATCAATAAATGCTTCACGTCAAAATTCGAATTCTCAATATCTGGAATCTCCCGGCGCCATATATCGTAAAACCAGTCTAGACCGAAATAGTTTGGGAATTCTTTTATGGGAGATTTCCAGTGGTACCCCTCCGAAGGTCATCATGAATGACAATAGAGAACATGTGCTCGGAACACCTCGGGCATATGTAAAAATATGTGAAGGTAATAATGTAATAAGGGACCCGTGTAAATTGACCCCGTTATTTGATTTGCGCATATTCATTTTTCAAATCATTCAATAGACTGTTGCCAACCAAATAAGAATCGATGGCCAAGTATCGAACAAGTTATCAGAGAACTGGATGAAATTGATTTATCCGAGATAGAATCAGGATTCTTCAACTTGACCTCAAGTCTTGGCCGAACGAAAGATGTGAACATGTAAGTTCATCTGAATTTTTTTTTTTTTTTATTCATTCTTCAGGACATTTACGTATTAAACGATTTCAACTCTGTAGGGAAAACGGAATTGCGGCTGAACCAGATTCGTTCACATCTGAGATGGATTTATTCATGAAGAATTTATTTACATTTTTTTCCGAATTATTCGTAAAACAACATTTAGACATGATGCCCATTTGCATTAAAAAATTTATCAAGGATCACAACAAGAATCCAACAAAGATACTGTATAATTTGGTCAGTCAGCGTCGACCTTATTATACCAGCATGGTTGGATTTTTTTATAAACATAGTATTGGGACAATCGCTGATAATAAGATAGCGTTAGAATTCTATTCACAAGCCACCAATGGGGTAATTGATGAACGGGATCACTCTTCTGATGTACCATCGTTTGTTAAGTCATTTAAAAAGGACAATAAGGCTATCGGGCAGATACTGCTCGCAAATATTTATTTATATGGCAAAGGTGTGGCAAAGGATGAAAAAAGGGCTTTTCGACTTTTCGAGAAAACAGCAAAAGAGGGATCCACTCGAGCATTGAATTATATAGGCTTTTGCTATGAGTATGGATTGGGCGTGGAAAAGAATGACAGCCGGGCATTTGAATTATACCTGAAAGCAGCAGAGCAAGGAAACCTTGTGGCACAATGTAATGTCGGATACTGTTTCCAAGAAGGAATAGGCACAAATCGAGATGAGAAAAAAAGTTACATTTGGTATTCAAAGTCTGCAATGGGAGGAAATATCATCGCATATTATTGTGTCGGGGAAATCTATTTTTACGGGAGAGGTGTCAAGAAAGATGAACAGATCGCATTTCAATATTATTCAAAATCGGCCGAGAATGATTATGATGGATCTCAGTGTGACATTGGCTATTGCTATGGATTAGGAATTGGTACCGTCAAGGATGAAAATAAGGCGTTTGAAAATTACATGAAAGCAGCGAAGAATGGAAATGTGGTCAGTCAACGATTGTTAGGAGTTCGATATGTAAACGGGACCGGAACGTCCAGGGATTTTATAAAAGCCATCTATTGGTTAGATCTAGCCAAGGAAAATGGTGATGCCGATGCAGCCGATCTATTACGTGAAATCATCAATCAAATAAATTATGACCTATCGTAATTCCTAGGATCGTGAATTTATATTTTATATTATTTTTTATTTTTTACCAACAAACATGCGACCAGCAGTACATCGGAAAACCGATCAAGCTCTCGTGATAACGAAAGATTTTACAGTTATTTATTCATTTTGACAATGGTCAATTCATTATTGCAAATAAAGCATCAAGAAATAAAAAAATTACGCACCATCCATTCATCATCCCAAATCCATTCACTCATTCCTATATTTAACTAATTTCTTAGAATACCATTTTATTTTATTTGGTACTAATATTTCAATACATTAATCATACATGAATTGAACTTTAATTGTTAATAAATTCTTGATTAAAAATATGTACTAACTCTAATTAGACAAGCTATCATGTTTTATCATTGTGTATGTCTATATCTATACAGTATATGTGTTTATATAAACAAAAACAATAGATGAGGTGGGTGCTCATCATGGCTAGTTGAAAATTTTAATGATACACTAACTAAACATTGCAAGCAAGCAACATATTGAGATTGTTCTTCCTTCGAACCACTGTATGCCAACAATATTTTTATTACCTACCAACCATTCAACCATTCAACCTGTATTATTAATATTACACCTGAAAGACAAAAGAAATGGATAGATCATATACAGTAGATTTATAACAGTAAGAACATAAATCCAATTATGTCCTCCAACTCGTCAATAGCATCGGTATCTCCATTATCCGCTGCCTTCTGCAGCCAAAATATAGCTTTTATGATGTCTTTTGTTATACCGGTTCCGTTCATATATTTGATTCCGGTGATACGTTGACTAAACACATTTCCATTCTCACCAGCTTTTCGATACCATTCGAATGCTTTCCTTTCATTTCGTGCGATTCCCTGACCGGACAAGTAACAATATGCGACATTACTCTGAGAGCTGCTGTATCCTTCGTTGGCACACTTCAGATACCAATAATATGCAATCTCATCATTCTTTTCCACCCCTTGCCCATTTTCAAAACACCAACCGACACAATATTTTGCAACCACATTTCCCTCCATTGCTGCCTTTAGATAGTATTGGAATCCCTTGATCACATCCTTTTCAGTCCCCACACCATCTTGAAAACCGTAGCCCCGATTACATTGCGCCACCAGATATCCCTGCTCGGCTGCCTTTGAATACATGATAAAGGCCTTTTGACTATCCTTGGCGACTCCGTATCCTTTTTCAAAGCAATATCCTATGTAGTTTACTGCTCTGCTTGATCCCTCCGCGGCTGTCTTTAATAAGATCTGAAAGGCTTTCTTTCTATTCTGTTTTATCCCCTTGCCATCTATATATAGACTTGCGATGAGAATCCTACTATTGATTATATTGTACCTTTTGAACGATTTACTCCACGTTTCGGAATTGGGCATCTCATTTGGCGTTTCATTCTCGAAATCAAAAGTATCTTTAGCTGCCAGTGAATAGTATTCGAATGCCATTTTGTAATCTACCACAACACCAATTCCGTATTGATAAAAGCAACCTATCATGCTCGTAAAGTAGGATCGATTTCGATTTTGGAGCAACTGATGAAATACCCTGACCGGGTTCTTCTTGTGATCTTTGATATACTTTTTAATCAAAACCGGTGCCATGACAAGATGTTGCTTAAAGAATAAATTCGTAAAAAAATGGAATAGACTTTTAATGAACATATCAGTCTCCGTGGATTTGTCGGACGTTTTCAACGATTTGGATTGAGATTCGGGTATAATAACATCCTCGCTAAATAAAAAAAGGTTTTGGCATTGTTGAATAACGTGATGTGAAAATATCAAAAGAAAAAAGATGGGTGCAATCAATCCATACGCATTTAGGATGTCGGCTTTTATCAAACTCTTGTTTTGATTGTCATTGAAAAGCGGTATTAAAATCTCGAGTTCACTTATTTTATCCGAGACATTGATTCTCTTGAGATCCCTGAGAACTTGCGAAATATTCGGGCGAAGACTTTCTTCGTGTTGCATACAATCTGCCGAATAGAAATTCTTTTTAGCCGACTTTCCGTCAACCGGGTAAAACAACAAAAAAATCTTTTTTTCCCTCGATCGGTAACACCGTACCTGTATAAATCTTGAAATATCCACGAGGTACACCCGCAACAGGTTTATTTAAACTACACTTTTTAATGTGATTCAATATTTCATTTCTCGACACATGACTTGAATCCAGTATCGACTCGAATTGGGTGTCGCCGCACGCAATTTCTCGCATAAGGACACCCAAGCTGTATATGTCTGAACTCCTTCTACACGCTGTGGAGTCGCATAGCCTCAAATACTGAGAATCAAAATATTGAACTGAATCCCGGAATTTTTCGGTTAACTTTCTGGATGCAGACATCCTTGTGGACATCTTGAAGCTGCATAGTTTAATGCTTTCGTTGTGAACAAAGAGATTTTCAGAGGTCTACACGAAAAAACGCATGAATCATGAGTTTAGATCAGAACTAGAAAATTCGCAAGGGCAATCAAAAAATTTTTCATCGATCGATTACCAAATTTCCATGGAGCATGTTAATTGAATGAAGATACATTAATACACTTGCGATTTGTCTTGCGAGATACAATCTCGTTCTCCAGTTCATCGTCTTGGAATTCTCTTTCAAATACTTTTTTAGGGAGCCACGATTAGCATATTCAAGAACTAGCATGTGTCTACTTGGGTTTTCTGTAGACCCGTAAGAATAAGCTAGTTAATAGATGAAAAACTCTGAAAGGTGTCGGCGGAATCCCTTCGATTCGTCCATTCATTTACCTTGTCTAGTAACGCCATGTAATTTCAAAACGTTGGTACCTTCGCGGGTCTTTAACTTTTTATATTTTCTTATCTTGAAAATTGAAGATTGTCAAAACTTGACATTCTCTCGACGATTATCATGTAATAAACAATCAAGACTCACCTCGTTAATCAAGTCATTTAAATTAAATTCTTCGCTTAAATGAATTCGTTTAAGAATTACAGTTTTTCTGTTATTCCTCAGGGTCGCCTTGAAGACGCCCTCGGTTGCTGTTTCGCTTGGATCAATCGGATTCACCTCATCAAACATGTTGAATTGGTAAATCGCGATGCCTTCTCTTTGGAATACATTATCTATTGAGTTGTTCATCATCCACGATTCACATTCGGTCGCCGTTTGTTCTCTAATAATTTTTTCAAATTCAAAAACCATGTCACAATAGGAGGATGTGAGTGTATGCACGTACGCACATACATACATACCGTGCATGCATGCATACATAAATGTGCGTGTCACAGTACTGTAATAGCCACACGTATCTAATTTGACTTACCTTTTTTGGATTGTGGTCACCGTCGAAACAAGTGTACTTACATACGTACGTATCGGGATATCCATCGAAGCAAGAATATGCAAAAATCTGTCCCCCGAGTATCAGGCGGCGGAACGTTAGAGTGAAAATTTCTTTTCGCGCCGAATTCGCTAATTCGTTATGTCGTCAACCTCAACCGAAGAACCCTCTCACAAGCCATCATGTATCATAACCTTCCCCACTGGGGGCTTATCAAGTCATTGCAATTATGCTATGCAATCAATTAATTTATCATGTAGATTTGGATCGCACACGATTAATTAATTAATTAATGTAAACAGAAAAATTTTTAAGGATAATTAAAAATCATCTCTTATTTATTGGAACTAAAATCTTTTCCATTTATTACTTTACATTTTCAATGTGCCATGTCACCTTTACCATTGATATTTCAAATTTTTAATTGGTAAGATTTAAACGATAAAAAGATTTTTTTTTTTTTTAAAAGAATCATAAAATCAATGAAAAAAGCCAGTCTGCACGAAATCTTTTAAAGCATTAGCCACGCATTCAAAAACATTGACCGTCAGCCATTCACTACATTAAAAAAAAAAAAAAAAAGCGTAGTATAAAAAAGGTTTGATATATTATCCTTTTTCTTTTCTTTCTTGAGCTGTTGTATCGTTGCGTCAATCTTATAACAGCGTATTATGCAGGTTATATGCTCGGGACGAGATGTGCACTTGGAGGTTTCTCTGTACCGCACTGTAGATACGTGCGTAAGTACTTACGTACGTACGCACCTACGTACGTATACCGTGATTGGGGCTGCCGGTGATCCCCTAACCTGTGTTTAGAATATTTAGAATGGCCTTTTTTAGAAATACGTGCGACTTGTTTGCACATCAAAAA